ATAGTATGGCTTTCGTTTTTAATACTGGGCGATTCTAACGAACGAATAATCTCCCGGTGTATATATATATGTGTGTGTGTGTGTGTGTGTTTGTGTGTGTGTTTGTTTGTGTGTGTGTGTGTGTGTGCGTGTGTGTTTGTGCGTTTATGTGTATGTATATATATATATATACGGGGGGCTATAAAACAATGCGGCGACACACAATCTAATAAAAAAAACTACGAAAGCGAGAACGCTAACGATCGAAACGTTTCACAAAAAAACGACAGAAAAGCAACAGCAATAACAACAACAGATTAAGCGAATGCTTACTTGAATAATTTTTCTTTTTCGTTTTAATTTATTTCTTTTCTTTCTTCACTCTTAACCGGGTAGAATAGTCGGAAGGAGGAGGAGAAATCCATATGACAAACTGGTGTTTTTTTTGTTGTTTTTTTTTTCAACTCTGCGAGGGTGTTAAAAAAACGGGCAACTTTTCTGCTTCAAATTTTGTAAAACCATTTAAAGTTTGACTCATGAGCGATTTTACTTTAGCCACAGTTCTCTTCTTTTGAATTTATAATCAAACCCAAAAAGTTTTGGACAATGTGATGCGTCCAAGTCTAGCATTTAGTAAGAACTGACAAATAACAGCAACAAACAACATTGCAGTTAATAAAAGAGAAAAAACAAAATAAGACGATAAAATAGCATAAAAATCGAAAAACCCGAAATATAATAAGAGAAAAAATATGACAAAAAATGAAAAAAAAGCGAAAAGTAACGATTACACACACGCATCTAGATAACATGGACAAAAATAAAAATAAATATAGAAACGAATAAAAGAGTAATAACATAAACTTAACAACATGCCGCTGCTGCTGGTCTGTCGACCACAGCACAGTTAACCCATTCTCATAGTAATTTATTCAGAAAATATAGGCAAACCATAAACAAATGTCTCGAATTTCAGATTCGCTAAATAAATTTTAGTTAGTCTGGTTTGACTACGAGCAATATACGTGTTCCACTTCAGGGAAGTGCAACAATTGAAATGAGTTTCAATTAAGAAAACTTGTTAAAAAGGAAGTTAAGAAATACTTTGCTGCTATATATTGATTATTATTTCTTTTTGTTTTTGTGCTCGTTCAAAAACTTATCAGGAATTTGCAAATAATTGCAAAAGCAAGAAATTTCCTAATTAAAGGATCCATTGGATGATGGATGAATCGCATTTATTTAATTAATTTTTCACCAATTCGCAAAATTAATCGCGACATACTCTGCCAGATATGCGATATTCGGCAATATGCCTAGAAAATCGTACGAAGATTATTGCTTGAGAATGTAACTTGATGACGGCCCGACCTATGGCAGTTCATTCAGTTTCAATTCACACGCCTAACTAAACGCCTCACTTAAAGTTGGTCCCTCTATTGTATCCAAGCCACTCGTTCGAACGTAAAGAAGCTTTCTCACTTTTTTTGGATCAAGCTTGCAATAAAGAAATTTAGAAAGACAAGAACATATTGTCCACTATTCAAAGTTTTGTCTATAGTTTAACTTGCTGTGTGAAAGAAACTAAACAATATTCTTACACACCAAGCTACTTAAGAGTAAGAGCGTAATGTGTTCGCTTTAATTCAAATGGTGAGAAAGAATCGTAAAGGGAATAAAAGAGAGAGAGGGAGAAAGAGTGTGTGTGTAAAAAGCAAGAGACGCCTGCACACACTCGCCTATTGTGTGTGTGTGTGTGTTCTACCCATATGCATATATATGTTTTAAAGCCCATTTATCACAGGAAAAGCCAAAAGTTATAAAGGCCTTATAGATGCACAGCAACGCTATAAACATATGACACAGATACAAACACGCATATATATGTACAGTATAACTGAAATGAGGGTAGTGTGTTAAAAACTGTAGAAAAAAGCACCGCAACTATAACGCTGCAACTGCTCGCTCTTGCTCTTGCTCTTGCTCTTGCTCTTGCTCTTGATTTGCTGTTGATGTTGCTGTTGCTGTTGCTCTTTCAAGACATTCGACGCAAGCGCAAAGCGTGGCAGTCTCTACGCTTCTCATTAAAGCAATCAAAGTTGTCGTGTAAAAGTAAACCGCAACAGCTGTAATTTTTTTGGGTTTTTTTTTTTTTCAATCTGATAAAATACACAACAACAATACATATATTCATTGTCTACCCATCTATAAGGCATAAACAAAATACGATGAATTTTATTGTCTGCGTTCGCGAAACACTCACGCAGAGGGTTACACTCTGCGTGTGGGTTGAGCGCCAAAACAATAAAAAAAATGAGGGAAAGAGAAAAAAATTAAATAAATAATAATTAGAGACAGAAAGTTTACAAATGTTTTTCGGTTGCTTTGCTTCAATAGCTTTTCTTTTTTCTTCTTTCTTGCATCTCAATTTCTCTCTATTTCTCTTTGCAATTCTCTCTTCCTGTCACTGCTTTGCTCTCATATTTAAGTATAAATGCAGTCCCTCTTTAAATGCTTTTTCTAATCTAAAGCAATAATAAAAAAAAAAGAATACTACCGACCGGCACTTTTCAAAAGTAAAATATTATAATTTTAATTTCGTTATTGTTATAATTGTTGATTTTTATCGGGTTTTGAGAGAAAACACGAAGAATATAAATAAGTTTTCAAGTTTTCGTTTTGTTATATGTATTTTCAAAGAAGTTGAAGGTCAACTTTTCGGTATATATAGGTGTGTCTTTCGCAGCGTGTTTATGAAAAGCTGTTCCCGTACAAATTAACTTTTTTAGCAAAAAAAAAAAAAAACATTGGCTTTCGTGAGATGTTGTGGTATAATATTTTTATTTTTATATTGTTGTAAGAGTTGCGCGCTTGCGCCGACTGCATTGAAAGCGTTAGTCATATATTTAAATGCACACAGATAGACACACACACACACACACACACACACACACACACACACACACATTTGCAAACAGAGACAACACAAATCCAAATTTTTTGTATATTCGTGTTAGTAAATGCGCAGGAGGTGACCTTGAATATACTTTCTTAGCATCAAGTTTTTCATCGTAAGCAACAATGTATCGCACAATCTATACATATTCGAACGAGCACGCAAATGTATAATCTTCTTGGCGTAAATTAAAACATTACTTTTATTATTTTGTCTTTAAAATTTCTATTCTTATTTTTATTTTTTTTTTTTTTTTGTTTATATTGTCTAATTTTTAAGAAATAAAACTTTTCAATCAGAATTTTCTTTTCTTTTTTCTTTCTTCATTTTTTTTTTTTTTTTTTGTTCAAAACTTGAGATGATATGAACATTCGTTTGCTTTACTTTGTTGGATCCCTTAAACGACTTCACTCATCACTGACTCTTCCAAAAAAAAAAAAAAAACAAGAAAAAAAAAATATTATTCTTTTCACAGTTCGGGAAAGATACAAAACACTGCTCAACTCTTTTTGGTTTCTCTTTATGGTTTGTTATTGCCCAAGTGAAAGAACAGCAACGTTTTTCTTTTCTTAAAAATGAAAGACAACAACAATCGACTTTTCTTTCATTAATCGATTATATTCTGAAAAGTTTTAAATGTGCAAGAACAAGTTTAAAGTTCATAATAAAATATTATATATAATACAATTTGTGTCTTAGGTCGGTCGACATTGATAAACTTGAATTAATTCATAGTTTATAGTTTTTTCTATAGTCGTCTTGGCCCAGAGCATATATAAAGCCAAATTAATCCTTTCGGTCACATGACTCGTCTGTTTTCCTTCTTTACTTTTTGACGTTTTGTTCAGCAAAACCCAAAGATTGGTATGTGCTCCATTTTTTACACCCATGCACCCCGCATAACTCAAATATTCAAAATATTCTTCTCTTTTCTATCACAGCGCACATAGACTGTTTGTACTTCTCCATGTATGCATCCCATCCATGCACGCATACTAATAAAAATAAGTAATAAAAATTTATTTATTTATCTATTTTTTTTATTTTTTATTTTGGTTGTATGTATGTATATATAAATAAGCTTTCATAACGCAAATATGTGCACATGTATTCACCCGATACCAGGCTTTCAGTTTAACATAGTTGACTAAATTAAGGTTTGTATAAAAGAAAAAAAAATAAAAATAAAAAATAAAAAAAACTATGAATGTTAAGTAGACACGCATCTATGAACAAATCGACGTACATATATGTGTATCCATATGCCTTCGCTTGCGATAAGCAGCGGATATACAATTTTTGGAACAATCCAAACTGTTGTTAACTTATGTGTTTTCTTTTTTTTGTTTGTGTTTTCGTAGATCTTTCGCTTTTTTACTAGAAATGATTCAGCCACCAATCGACTGACCAGAAATTGCTAGAAGAGCGATGAAAGATTAAGAGAAAAGGGGGAATAGAGAGATAGTGCGTAAAAGAGCGAGAGAGAGAGAGAAGTTAAATTTTGTATTCTCTAGAATTCAAAGGAAAATACCTAAGAAATAATAAGAAGGAGAAAAGAAAAGTGTTGCAGTAATTAACACAGAAATATACTTTTGAGTGCTGTTTTATTCTTCTCCCTCATCCCCACCCCGCTCTTTATTAAACCGCACAGATGCTTTTCATAATATAGCTAAACAAGAAGAAGAATGTTTCTGTGTGGCGTGGCTCTAAGAGCGAATTGTTTACTTTTTTCACTGTGTGCAAACACCTTCTCAATACTAATGCTGCCGAGTTGTTTTTTTTTTTTTTTGCCGTCAGTTTTGCTTAAATTATGAACTGCGCTGTGCCTGATATGTCAAACGCGTTCATCGTTGACAGTTTAGTAAAACTGTTTGCTAAAATTTCATATGCGGAATAAAGTTTTTAAAGATTTACGAAAACATCTATGTATGACTGAATAAGATATCAAGCCAATGCATGTCAAGCGTAAGCAAGGAACATTTTCCCTAATACAGTTGATGAAAAAAATCTCTTAATTTATTGTAGAGCTTTTGCCACAACTCGGCCGCACGGGCCGGATATTTGA